CCCCAAAACCCCAAAACCCCAAAACCCCATATCATCTAAAATGGAACGATTGGTAAACTATGAATTATTTAAATGACTAGCACTTTATTTCCAAATTATTTATGAGGTGGTTGTATTAATCAAGTCATTGATTCAGTTTAATGCTTAGAATTCATTGGCCATTAGAACTCAAATCTGTATTGATAGATGAACAACTTCTACCTGTCCCTCGTATTTCTTCCAGAATTATTCGGCAATCGGTTGAATGTATTTTCTATTGAAGACTATTCTCTTAATACCTGCTTATATGATACTCTTCGAGCAAGTCAAGCATGGTGATAGGTTTACATAGATTGTACCCCCAATACATTTAGATCTACCAGCTTCAATAACTGCATTTTATTCAGCATGAATACAGAGACATTCCTCAAGGCCTACTCCAGAAGGAGTCATACTATTGCATCTATGGCAGCCTCCATCAGAGCAGTTCTCCATTCCAAAGGGTGTGCCGTTGTAGCCCGTAGATACGATTCTTAAATCATTAACGATAACACATCCAACAAGCCTCTTCATACAGTTTGACCTGCTTGCTACTATCTCAGCCATTCTTAAGAAGTAAGTATCCCACTTTGGTCTCACCAAATCATTATTCAAGAAGTTGAATTCTATTGATAATTTTATATTAAAATCTTATTATGGAGTTTAAATCTTACGACTCAACTGTGAGAAGAAGCTGTCTAAAGATTCACCATTGTTAATAAATCTTTTGACGACTTTCAAAGTATTGTCAGTTTTCAAGGTGAATGATACTTCATCGTCAAGAGCAGCGAAGTCTTCCATTGAGATATCACCGTTCTTCTCAACAAATCTTTTGAAGCGATGAGTGAATGGAGCCTCGACATCAAAGACTATGACATTATACTTATCTCTTTAAAAGTAACATTTAACTCCATTTTATACTTACTGCAGAGGGTCAATATCTTTATCCATGATGAATGGATAGAGGACGTAGTTTTGCTTCCAGTCTCCTTTCATTCTCTCTAGAATTTCTTGCAGTAACTTCAACAAATGCTACTTGTTTTCCGCTAACCAAGATGTTAAGATCGACATGAATTTGGAAAATTTACTTTTAAATAGATTTTTTAGAGCATCTGAATGCCCTCCCTCTTGACTAAGGAGTCCTGCAAGCTCCTGATAGAGATTGACTATCTTAAAGCCAAGTTCTCTCTCAAGATAAATTGCTAAAGCACGTTTGCCAGCACAGAGATTACCACTAATACCGAAAATCATATTCTTAGATTCTACTAATTATTTATTTAATTACAAATCTTATTAGATTCTCCTCTAAAATTAAGATATTTAAACTCGCAACCCACTTTAATTCATCACTTAATTAAGACTCTTACTTTGGCTTTCATTTTAAAGCTATAACTTAATCGATTTATAAATCATATCTTTGATCAATAAAATAAAGAAAATGGAATCTGAAAATAGTTCTCCAACAAAGTCCTCTTCTAATGGGAATAGTCTGTAGCAGGATTACAAGAACTTGGTAAACTTTATGAAGAGAGTCTCATTGACACATCAAGATTAAGATGAGAGTGAAACTCACTCTAACTTCAGGTAGAAACTGATACCACAGGTCAGACCTTCCAAAGAGGGGTGCAAGATAGAGCTTCCCACGGGAGAGAAAGTTGAGATACCAATCTTAGAAGGTACAGTTGGACCAAAGTCCATTGATGGCAGAGGTTTCTTTGAGAAGACAGGTCTATACACATACGACCCAGGCTTCACCTCGACTGCCAGTTGTGTATCAGCAATTACTTATATTGATGGCGATCTCGGATAATTATGGTATCGAGGATACTCCATTGATTAATTGGCTGCCAACTGCACCTTTATTGAGACTTGCTTCCTTCTGTTATATGGGGAACTCCCTTCCTAGAGACAACTAGATGAGTTTGAGAACAGAGTGTAAGATAAATTCAAAATTGTGATATAACTATGATTATAGTAAGGATGAGATGTTGGTTCATGAGAAGATTAAAGATTTTTACAAAGGATTTAGTCCAAATGCTCACCCAATGTCTATTATGTGCGGAATCGTAGGAGGGCTCAGTTCTTTCTATCATGAGGCAGTAGATGTCACTGATCCCAAACAGAGAGAGCAATATGCAATCAAGTTGATTGCTAAGATGCCTACTCTAGCTGCTATTGCCTTTAGAACAAGCAAGGGCCTGCCAATAGTTTCACCAGATAAGAGAAGATCCTATACTGAAAACTTCTTGTATATGATGTTTTCAGATCCAATAGATCCAGACTTTTAAGTAATTTAATGGTTTCCATATCTTATAGATTCCTCAAGTCATGGTTGATGCTCTAGATAAAATACTCATTCTACATGCTGATCACGAGCAAAATGCATCTACTTCAACAGTTAGAATCACAGGTTCATCATTAGCTAATCCTTTTGCCTGTATTTCATCAGGTATTGCTTCTCTTTGGGGACCAGCTCACGGTGGAGCAAATGAGGCTTGTCTCTAGATGCTCGATGAGATAGGCTCAACTGAAAACATTCCTAAATACATTGCCATGGCTAAAGATAAGAACAGTTCCTTCAGAATTATGGGGTTCGGTCATAGAGTCTATAAGAATTTCGATCCAAGAGCGAAAGAAATGCAAAAGATGTGTCATAGAGTACTCTAAGAATTAAACATCTCGAATGAAGGACTATTCGAACTGGCTATTGAATTAGAGAAGGCAGCACTCTCTGACTAGTACTTCATCTCGAGAAAGCTCTACCCTAATGTGGATTTCTATTCAGGTATTGTGCTCCAAGCCTTGAAGATCCCAAGAGATATGTTCACAGTCATTTTCGCACTAGCTAGATCTATCGGCTGGATTACTTAATGGAATGAAATGATGTCAGAGTCAATTGTTAAAATCGGTAGACCCAGATAACTCTATGTGGGGAATAAAAAGAGAAAGTATATGGATATTAAAAATAGAGTCAGTTTTGATTTGTTCTGACGGAACATTGACTATTAGATCTCCAACAATTATAGCAATTTCTTCTAGTCTAATTTATTTTACCAGACAATTATACATCAGATATTGGAGTGAAGGGGTTTTGGGGTTTTGGGGTTTTGGGG